GGGGGGGGGGGGGGGGGGGGGGGGGGGGGGGGGGGGGGGGGGGGTTAGATCTGTTCAGCAGCGTTTCGTCGTTAAATACTCAATAACAGCATGTTCTCCTTATTTGCTTATTGTCGAAGTGGATGAAGAGGAAGGTAAATCACATTCAAATGTACGAACGCTTGGGATCAACAAGGGTGGTGCTATACATATCTAATTGTCATGTGTCGGCTGTGGACATGGCGCTCTTTCGGGCAGAGGACGAATCTATCATCTGCCCTGGATCCGTCCTGCGTGCACCCAACACCGTCACCAACTGTGTTTTGTTCTTGGGCGACAATCCTGCAGCCTCCACAGTGTATTTGTGGACTTTGAACGACATGCAAGTGAACCAGGCGTGCCTTCAAGTGGGGTAAACTCCCTGCGGGCTTTTCATAATGGAAAGGTCGTGGCTCTGACCTGTCTTCGACCACTGTCGACCGAAGTTGGGGACTCAGGTGGTGTCCTGATAACTGGAGGTGGGTGGCATCTTGTGAACGCCGATAAATCGGAAAATCGTGCTTCAGCATGCGGAAATCTTCTCAGCGACGCGCGCTCGGTCGAACCCGAATAACCGCAAGGCAATGACAAGGCAGTGTTCTGGCTCCATCATTCGCACGCACAGAATGTCTAGCAATCTGAAAAGCATGGCATCATCCCAAAACCCACAAGCACAGGTGAAGATGGTGCAATCCGAGCATGGACTGCAGACCGAGGGAAGTTGTGTGGTACACAAACGTTCTCGGCGTTTTCAAAGACACAAGAGCTCGACGAGGCCATCGCGGGCGACAAGCGGGCTTCTCTCGATGAAAGGGTTGTCACTTTGGAAGGAGCCGGAGATTCCCCGAAAAAGAAGGGTGACGTGCCAGTCCCGGTCTGTGCCTTGGCTTCTTGCAGAGCCCAGCCTTTGGTCGCCATTGGTCTCTGTCATGGAGCGGTGCACATTGCTTACGTCAAACAGGTGAAATTTGTCCCTTCGAACCGACTTTATTATGGAGTGGGCTAACCGATCGATGGCTCAACCCAAGATATCTGTACCAGCAGAATAGGCAATACTGAAACTTCAGGAGGCGTTACGATTTTTCGGTCTGTTTTGCTCCTCTTCCCCCTTGCGCATTTGCTTAATTTCTGCAGACATCTGCTTACGATGTGAGCATGACGTCCCTTTGGAGCGAACGTTTCTACCGCGGTCCCGCATCGCAGCTGTGCTTCCATCCCACGAAGACTCTGCTGGCCATAGCCTCTACGGACGATCGCTCGGTGCACGTGATCAATTTTCACAATTCGATGGGGGATTTCGTGGTTTGCGGTGTTGGCGTGGCGCCGCCGGGGCGAGGAGGCGTAAACGGATTAATGTGAGATGAGACAAATGTTTTGCACCACGAAAGGATACATGAGGACGGGATATGGAAGCTGTCAAGCGGACAAAGTGCAGTCCTTGTTGTCGCCTGTGTGTTACGTGTAGCACCTACGAATCAACATGCTTGTGTCGGCAACGCTGCGGATAATGAGGGACACTGAGCGATTCGTTTCTGCTCTCCACCACGTAGTTCTAGAGACCTCGACACCCGGTACCGCGATGCTTCGATATGCAAACGGTGCGCTGTAAATAGCAAAGCAATGATAATACTTATGAAAACATAGGGCCCTCCCATTCTCGAAAGCAACGACAATTGGACGCTTTCTTTACGATTGGGTTCAGGTGGCGGGGAGTTGACATCGTTTTCAGCACGGAGGACTGCCTCGTGTGCGCTCTTCAAGTCAAGTCGGAGCGTCGCGCGCGCCCCACCCGCGTTGACCCCCTTTCGTGGGTTTTGCGCACGCCCACACCGTTGCACGGGATGCGACCTCATCCGCAGATCCGGCACGGGCCGTTCTTCGCCGTGTCGGCTGATATGCGTGTTTTGCAGGTGCCTTTCTTCCGAAGCCGTTCTTGGCACTGTCGTTGTTAAATTCATTGCGGAGTATACGACACATGCAGAGTTAACTCAGAAACCAATTCTCACACTGTCTTCCTGATTTGTAAACTACATTATTAATTGCGCGGATGAGACTTTTTTGGAGGCGTGGAATCACAACGTATCGTCAATCTTTGACCGTCTTCATCTTCAAATGGTCGGCGTTTCCTCCTCCAGGGGCAGAGGAAACATGCTTCTTGCAATCGTGGTTTCAACATTACACAAGTATTGTCTGCCTTTGTTTAGTCCAACGTTTTGAGTTTGAATTAACTCACTCGATTGCCCGTCAATCAACATTCCAAGGGCTCAAAGTCCCACCGGTCCGTCTTCCTTTTCTCAGCCGTGTCTTCGGGCCTTCTGACAACAAACCTCTTGATGCGCATGGTGCGCACAGGTTTTACCCGCACTTCCTGAGAAAGGAATCCCTTCCACCTTGGCCGACGGCGGGGAGCCGAAGGCTCTATCGCCGCTCGACACCCTCGAGGCGCATCAGAAAGGTGTAGCGGTTATGGCCGCGTCACCAGATGGCCGCTTTATGGCCACGGGAGGGGCCGATGGACTTGTATGCCTGTGGATGGTGTACGAGAACCAGGTTCGCTGATCAACATTGCGTTGGTGTCATATTGTTGGATCTCGTGTCGGTGGATAGGTTCGGAGTTTGTCCTTGAGATGAAATCCAAGCAGTATCGAGAACCAACACCGGTGCGTAGCAGCATTCGCTCGTGGCCATATCCCCACCCTCCGCATGTTCACGTTTTCGAAATTTCGGATACGTCTACAGTATATAGACCTGGCATTGTTGCTTTATGCCCGTTCCGTTGTTTGCAAGATCCACACAAACAGCCGTACACCCAATTCCTCATTGGATATTGCGACGACACCTTTGGTGGAGGTTGGAGTAGGTATGGGAAGTCTTCGCCCCAAGTATCGCGGGTGTACTTTCTTTTCCGATTTTCCAGCCCATTGATGACGTCTCAACAGCTACCACGCCAGCTCTCTACCACCTACTTTCGTTTTTAGCCATTGTTTTAACTACTTTCTCTCCGCGCGTCCGCCCGCCGCCCGCCCGCCCGCCCGCCCGCCCGCCCGTCGCCATTCTGAACTCGTCCAGGTGGAACTTCTCAACTCCGCTCTCGTGCACGCCGGTCCGGTGATCTCACTGGCTTTTGCGGCCAACTCGGCGATTTTGTTCACAACGTCTCTCGACGCAACAGTGTTCGGCCTCGCTCTGGAAGGTCTCCAAGAAGGGTCGGAAGCCCAGCCACCACCAGTAGTGGCGACGCTGGAGGTATACTACTTGAAGTACCTTTAACATAGTTCTGTGGTGACCAACTTTTCCTGCAGTCTCTAGTCGTAAATCTGTAGACTAACGTAGCAGGCACCACGCGGTGCTGTGTTGAGAAAAAGAGGCCTAAATCCAGCGTTAGCGCCTCGTGTTGAGGGAAGAACAAATTATTCGTACACAAAGCGAAGGCAATGGGGGTAAGAAGTAGGCGAGGGGGCTTGTCTCATGCTCCACACACACTTTTTCAGATTGTTTGTAGTCGTCACGCACAATCTGGTATTCTGACGGAGCGCAGGCCGCAGCAGCCCGGGACAATTTCACGTTTGAGATATAGCTATGCTACCACCGTACGGAATTTGTCAGGGTCAGCAGTACTTCAAGATTCACGGCCGAATAGAGCATAAATCGAAGTAGCAATTCTGGATCCATTCCCTAAAACGTATTGGGTAACATAAAGTCCACACCATGTCGTCCTGTTTTCATGTCCTACCAGAGGCTAGCGGACAGAAGAGCAGCGGCACAAAAGATGCAAGGCGGCATCATCGAGCGATTAGATGGTGAAACGTGGAGACAGGAATCAGCGGCGGAAGTCCGGGACAACGCAAACGTGAGAAACCGCCGTGGATCAAAGAGCAATCGGGGCAGCTCCTGTGATGTGCAGCACTGACCACGACCACGGATGTACCGTCCCACAAAATCGAAATCCACTTCCCACGTGTTCACAAAAGTCAACCAAATCTGTGAGACTCGCAGAAATTTGTCTACACGAAGGTAGTAATATGTACAAGTAGTTTTCCTTCCTGTGATCACTTCCATGTCAGTCGTCATTGTTATCGCCCGTTGGCACTCCTTTCGTCGCTTTGTGCCCAGATCGAGCTTGATGCGGTGGGCAAAGCGCAGCGAAAGGTGGTAGGAGAGTTCAAGGAGCGACTTGCACGCATTATCGAAAAAAACGAAACCCTTCCAGAGCTTGAGAAGATGGAACGGAGCGAGTTCGTAGTGGACGTTGCCGGCAGGTATAGTGATCGGGGAATGAAGGATTGCAAACAACCCTTGCATATTCTATGGCCTCCGAAATAACAACCGGTCCGCTCGACAGTACGGGTCACTCCTACAAAGCAGTGTGTATTCCCTCGGCAACGACACAAGGCTTTCTTCAAACTATAATAGTGCAGTCGTTTCCACACGACGATTGGGGGTCGGCCAACCCAAGTTTCAGCGTGTGAAAGGTGTCAAGCTTGCGGAACACGTTGGCAAACGAAGACAGAGAAGTTGATTCGTCGTCTGGATGCACGCGTCCTATTTCTGCTAGGGATCGGAAAGTAGCCGCCAACGAAGCCGCGGCGAAGAAGCTAGGCGAGGACATTCGGACCAGAAACCTAGGCAAGGAATTGATCGCGTCGAGAATCAAGATAGAATGCTGGGACTCAATGGAGGTCCAGAGGAAACAAGTGAGCGATGTCGCCGAGGAGGTCGCGAGAACGTTTTATCACGTTAATCAAGCGGTTTGTTTAGCATTGCTGGTAAATGTTGTGCATCCCTTGCGGAGCAGGCCGCTTACATCCACCCAATACAACTGCACATGACATATTCTTAACGTAACACGCAGCGGCATCTGTGTGGAAGGCGTGGCCATCGCAGAACCTCTTCGTAGAGTACTTTAGTTTCACGTTTATTCTTACCACTGTGATGATGGTGAGCAAATTTCCTTGACGCTACGTGATCTAATGCCCTACATGTAATTCTCACCACTTTGAATGTGTGCGTCGTTAATTCTTATCTTGAAACAAAGCCTCGCGGTGTTCCATGTCCCCTGATATGTAGCCAAAACAAGGAACACGCACGAACTGTCTACATGCGTTGTTTCGTATCATCATTGGGACGCTGAAAGTTAGGTCTTAGTCCTCTAAACTTCGGTAAAACCCGTGTGATGGCCACTGGGCCAGGTGTGGCGCATTCAACCGGATGGTGTGTTCGTCGAAAACTTCGCGATTCGACGTCGCAGCCCTGAAGAGCTCGCACTCATCAACAAGGTTAGGAAACATTAAAACTCTGTCGATGTATGGCACCCTTCCCATCGTTGACAGGACGTCGTGTAGAATCAATCCGATGAACATGCAACCGCAATGGATGAGGCGGACAGGATTGAGTCGCAATAGCATCCAGGACGGAGCGGTGGCTGGTAGAGGTGGTGTGTGCGCGCGTCTGACATACTTCGTACATGGCATAGATAGGTAGAGCGCAGATCGGATGATGAATCACACCGCCGCGCCACGCGGTTGGCGTGTATCGATAGTGCTACTTCACTCCCTCTTAATACAGCATCGTGCTTGTTCCGTGTAGGGTGGAAGAACCGTGCACAATGATGTGTCACGGGCAACCCGTTGCTGGATAACCGCTACCCAGGACTATGCCTCTTGACTTGACGGCCTCGTTCACGCTCACACATCGGACTATTATTCTGGCGACAGGTGAAGCAGATGAGAGCGTTAGAGCTCAGGGACGTACGGCGCGGGACTTACTCTGCGTCTCGGGCATGGCCAGGTCTTCTCGATGAAGTGAGGACAAGGTCCAGAACAGAATAGCGTCCTACATAATGCTCAAAACAAGGGTTTTACATACGTGCCCCAATATTGTCCCCCTTCGTCGCAACCGACAACTTGCGTCCACAAGGCTGAGCCTGGTGACGATCCTTGATCCCGCTCATTTCAACTTAATGGTACCGTAGGTGAAGTGATTGTGTTTGAGTAATGCTACAATGTTTGTAAACCAGCGGCATGCAGAGATAGATAGGTAGGTCACTCTGAACGAGCAGCACGGACCTGCATATCTCGGTGTTCTAGGTCCCCTCGGATATATCGTGGATGGTCAACGAGGGCCGCCTCGCGCCAGTGGTGGATGTCGTTCAAGCTCTCCGAGACGAGGCTGCGGGAGCGGGGAATACCGCCAAGGGAACGGGCGGGAAAGGAGGCGGGGCTACCGACGACATGGCCAAGACTAGCAGCAACAAAGCTGCCGCTAAAAAAGAGGCGAGCGGTGTGTACACGAGCATTGTAGGACAGCTTGGTTGACTACTCTACGGGTTGACGACGATTATGACACAGCCCAGTGAAAACGTCGTCGACTGAGGCTGGTCGCCGAGACGACAGCGAGCAATCGATTGTCACGTTCACATCTGGGGACCCGCGATGCATCTCTCCTCCCCGGACAGGATGATGATGGATCAGACGACGAGGACAAAGACGACGAGGACACGGAAGACCCAATCGCGGCCCTCGAGGTGCTAGAGGCGGCGGACGAAACCGACCCGACTTACCTGCTCTACCCTCCGCTAGCGCTTCGCACGCCGAGGCAGAGGCGCACACAGATAGTGCTGCTCGGAGAGTTGGTGTTGGACATCCAGAGAGCATTCAACCGACACCTGGACAAACTGCATTCCGCCAAAGAAGATTGCATGGACAAGGCGAGAATGTACCTGTATGTTGTCGAGTAGAAAGGCCCTCTCAGATGATTTTTCTCTGTGTAAGTCCTGAATGTATAAGGGGACGTGGACGAATTTCCGCAGGGGTAGTCGACTCGTCAATGATGTTGCTTCTCTTCTCTTCGGAGAGACTCCAGAGAAAGCGCCTCTGTGGACATCGAGCACATCCAATGTGTCTTTTCTCTGCGAGGTTGTCAGTTCAAAGTGTATTTACGCCTTGCTATCGAAGCTTTAATAGTCCAGTTTATCTGTCGAGGACTTCGAATCCGCGAACATTAACGGTCGTCTTTGTTTTGTGACCAAATGAATCATTGCTCAATTGAGTAGATGCTATGTAGCTTCTACTGTAAAAGAGCACAGATTGTGCTCGCTGGTCATGCCATCACGGAATGTGGTGAAGGCTCTGTCGCTTGCTTTCACGCGCGGAATACGGCACAGCTCTCTGGTGTAAAGTAACGATGTGAGTGGATTACGTTCATCGTGTGTCGTCAGGTGGAGGAGAAGAACACTCGCATTCAGGAGATCCTCGTGGATCTTGGTTCGGATGAAACGTTTTTCAGGCCCAAGTGGCTGGATTTGGAGCAACCCGAAGAAGTGTTCAATGTGAGATACGACTGTCAACACCTCAAGTTTTCTTTTTGCACGCTTCCTGATGGGAAACACCGTACCTGAGCAGAACATCATGTTGTAGATGAAGGTCTACACCGTACCACAAAGACCTTTCTCGGAGGAAAAAAATGTGAGTTCGAGGCAAACCTGGTGAACAACAATCCGGTGATAGAGTCATATCGTACCCCCTGATAATGTTTTCGACACCTTTTGAGGCACCATACTTGTAGCCGCGTCATCACCCAGCTTGCGCCCTGTTACGTCAACACTCCAACCTCTGACCGGGAAATGGCCAAGCCCACTACGGCTTGATGGTGCCCGTGACTTTGATCATATTCACAGGTGGAGAGCGACATGACGGTGAAGCCATACGAAAGTGAAGCCGACAGAGACGCACGCAGAAAGGCGGAAGAAGAAAAGCGACGGCGGGAGGAAGAGGCCAAGGGATCCAACGACAAGTTCAGAGCGCTCGACGTAAGTGGGCTGCCACAACGTGGTCATGGACTGGGGGGGGAAGGACATCCACATAGGATCATGGGAGTGTAAGACGGCTATCCAAAAGAATGGAGTCTTCAAATCCCCGAATACATTCTTATTCATCGTTTGTGACGTCGAAGTGTACAAGCGGGCACGCGCCGGACTGCAGGTGTGGCACGGGAGATCCCGTCTCTGTCCGCTTGATGCACCCCGACCGATCCTAACGAGCCGTCGTTACCCCACCGGACTCCCGGTCTTTAGGATATGATGCACGGAACCTTGGAAGTGAAGCAAGACGCCCTCACGGTCGACACAGTGAAGAAGCCAGACTGGATGGACGATGTTGCAGCCGAAGACATGACGGAACATCAGAAAAAGGTCAAGTCGGGGAAAGCAAGCTCTACCGTTTTCGATGCGCAGCAAGACAATTATTGTAATAGGGCAGCCTCAATCCGAGCAGTTATCTCGTGGTTGCAGCATCTGACGTTGCGGTGTAGGCAGCAAGTACCGTATCGATTCGCTTTTCCGCCCTGTCGTGCTCGTATGATTGATTCTGTGAGGGGTGATCACCAACTCAAGCGTGAGTAGTTGTGAATACTAGCCACCGGAACTCTCGAATATTTCGACGACAGCACTGGCTGCACCCTGCTTAAAACGGTTGAGCGTAAACAGAATGAGAACCAGCCCGCGTGTTTCCCATGGAAGAGGATTCTCTGCATCAGAGAACAATCCAGTGCCTATTGAAGTACATGCAAAGATGTTCGCGTTTTACCCATTGACAGCACTTGAAATTCTCGCTGGCGTTTGCCGCCTGCAGGAAGCAGAGGAGTACGAGGCACAACTGAAAGAGGTGCAAGAAGAACAAGCAACGTATCGTAAGGCCCTAGAGCTAGAACTGAAGAAGCTTCGGACAGAGGTAAGGCGATAAGCTGCAGAATAAAGTTTTGCCGGGTGCATCACGGTGGTGGGGCACGAGACATCTTTGTACCCAAGAAGGTGCAAGACAGCTGTTTGCCAAAGTAAGCTTGACAGCCTAGCAGGCGTGATAGGTGCTGTTGTGTCTAAGCAACGTGACCCCTTCAGAACGGCCAGTGAAAAGACACTACAACAAAAGAGCTCGTAGGTGCACTCCAACTAACGACTCCCTCCCCGTGGCGACGATTTACCCTTGGACTTTGTTTGCCTTGTCCACTCTGTCTGTTTCCATGCGTGTGACCCTCTTCCTTCTTGCATGCATATGATCGGTTTTGTCGAACACGAACCGCATGAAAATGCATCACTGATCAAATCAGGTGGCCGATATTGTGAAAGCCTTCGACGACAGGTTAAAGGAGATGTGCGAACTCCGAGTGCAGGTCCAGATGTATATCGCTTCCCAGGTATGGAAAACGGTATGACCTGGGCTTGGACATACATGTCGTTGGTCAGACCTCAGAGGGTGTTGTCGAAGTTCAACATCGGTGTGAGGTTCTTTCGTAAACAATTGCTGGCTGTGGTGGGAAGCTCGTAGCGCTCACTCGCGTCTGGAATCCACAAGCAGCTATCGTCATTTGTGTTTGGTTTAAGTTGAACCAGGATTCCTTTCTCTTCACCGTGTTTCGATTATTCGTTCTTCAGGAGCTTTTGCTCACGCGCCTAGCCATGGGAATCGTGGAGCGAGAGGACGATGACGTTACCATGGAAAAGCTAGACAAAGCGCTCGGGGACCTCTTCGAACAGAAGGTGAAGCAACCGGCGAGAAAGGTGAAGGGGGGCGTTGCCTCGCGACAGTTTACGAAGATCGAATTGATTGAAAGCATTACTGTGGGACACCCCGCGCCGGGTCGTTGTGTCCCACCCTATTGTGTCAGAACTCAAATCTTGAACACAATCCCCTCCCCATGTGCGCTCTTTCGTTTCCTGGCCAACGCACAGGCTCTGGCACAGGAGCGCTTGGAGGGATACAGGCTGCACGTAGAGCAAGCACGCGAAGAGATAGAAACCTTGCAGGTCCGTACCGCTCACTTCTTTTTCGACCTTCAGTGTGAGGAGAACGTCGGTTTCAAGGAGGAACATATACCCCTGGCGAACTAGAAGTTTATTGTCAGCTCCATTTCTTCCCGTTGCTCTCCCCCACAGGCGGAGGATCGACTGATGGAGAGAAACTTCAAGAAGGAAATCCAAGAAGCCGCGTCAAACCCCATCGACATGGCGGAAATGATGGCGCAGCTGGTGCAGGTACTGAAGTGGAGAACCGACCGTAGCGACATAATACGACCGGGGGCACAATTGAAACAAAACAGATTTCTCTTAAACGCCTTGGCGACTTCTTCATCAACTAAGTTTTGCGTGTCGAGTATGAACATCCACGGACATTTGTTGGGGAAAATTGCTTCAGTTCAGGCATCCTATTGAACAAATTACGAAATCATCATCCGACAACGTGCACAAGTAAATCGGAGATCGGGAATCTGGGTTAAGGCCAGCTATCTCATCTTTGGCCATGAATCGCCCGGGAGCGAACAGACAGTCAGACACCAGCAAGCCTCGTCATGGCTTTTAGCCCCTCCTCGTTCCTCCGGGGTTGAAATCGTCAACCTCCACACGGAACAAGTACTTCTGCACAAGAGGAACCCGCAGATCGACCAAGTACTTGTGCATTGGAGGAAGTGCTAACCATTACACTCTTTCCCCTCCTCTCCTCCGTGCCCATCCCGCATTCTGCAACATCTTGGCAGCTGTACAAGCTTCGCGATCACAGCACCATGAGCACAGGGGGCTCTTCAGGGTACCGTGGAAGTGCTACGGGCATGAGCAACGCCACGAGTTACCGCAGGTCGCAATCGAGGTGAGATACCAGGCGACTGTTCTATGACGGTCGAAGCTTTACTTGCGCCAAATTGCAAGTGCACGAGTACAGATACCTCTGGAGGGCGGCCCGCCATCTTCCGCACACGGAGCGTTGACATGTCTCTTGACCCCCCCCACCCCGCCCCCCCCGGTGTTTGCCATCGGGGTTGGGTTTTCGTCGCTTGG